CACATGGTACAGCAGACCTTTCCTGTCTCACCCACTGTTCCCTTCAGCGGTACACCTCAGTCAACTCGCCGTTCTGCACCCCACTGTCTCTGGTGAATCCTCTCACCCCCACACCTCTGACCTACACCCCAGTTCTTGTATGCATAAATAAATAAATCTTTAAAAAATAAAATATTTTACAAAATGATTATCAGAGTATTTTTTTTTATAGAGGCATGTTTTCTATTTATTTATTTGTTTGTTTGTTTGTTTGTTTTGTTTATACATGCACTGGGTACAGTCAGAAGCGCGGGAGGGTGAGAGAATTCACCAGAGCGGGGAGCAGAGCAGGCAGAAGGACCGAAGTACACTGCTGAGGGGAGCAGCGGGAGGCAGGAGAGGTCTGCGCGCCATGTGGGACCCTCCTCTGGTGGCCGGGGAGCAGCCGGGGATCGAACCAGCACCGCGGAGGCCAGGGGCAGCTTTGCAACCCAGCGCTCAAACGCTGCGCCACCAGGGAGGCCCCAGAATAATTTTAATTGAAACCATTACCACAGAGTTGCAATTTTTTTTGTGATAAAAACATTCAAAATCAATCAGCAACTCCCAAACATACAATACTGAATCGTATATACAGTTAATATATTAACTATAGACAGCATTCTGTATATTGCACCCTCAGGGCTTTTACTGGAAATATGTACCTTTTGAACTCCTTTGCTCTATCCCCTACCTCTGGAAACCACCCATCTGTTCTTTGTATAGATTAGTTCACTTTTTTTAAATTTTAAAAAATATTTATTTATTTATTTATTTATTCATTTATTTATTTATTTATTTATTTATTTATTTATTCAGTCAAAGAACAGGTTTATTTAAAAAGGGACAGGAAAGTAAAAGACACTTGCATAGACACAAGCAGCAGGAAGGCTGCTGCCTTGCAGAGGGAGAGAGTTGATAAAAGAAAGCACCTGCACAGTCACAGGTGGGCAGAGGGACTGCTGCTTACTTCATTTGTTAGATTCCATTTTTGAGGTCATATAGTACTTGTCTTTCTCTGTCTGACTTATTTTGTTTAGTGTAATGCCCTCCAGGTCCATCCATGTTGTCACAAATAACAGGATTTTCTTCTATTTCATACGTGAGTAACATTCCATTGTAGTACATATGCGACTATAGTGGTAAATACTATTCCTTTAGAATTTTGAAGGTATTTTAAAACTATTTTCTGTCTTCCAGTGCTGTTAAGAAGTTTATTGTCATTCTATTTTCTAGATCTTTGTGAAGGCATATTTTTTATTTCCAAAAGTTTGTAGAATCTTCTCTTTTGTTCACAGCATTCTGAAATGTGAAAATATGGGTCTTGATTTTCATCCATTATGCTGGCACTTGATGGACCCTTTCTGTTTGAGAAAAAAAAAAATTTGAACTCTTGTTAGTGATTTCCCATCCTTTGTTTTTTTCTATTTTCTTTTTCTGGACCCCCTGTTATTTGAATGTTGGACTGAATCATCCTTTTGTATTTTTTACACTGTCATGTTCTTGTTTCATAGCTGCAATAACTTTCCTTTACTCCAGGAAAACTTTTTTAAACTGTTCTCTACATACTTTATAGTTTTTATTGTTTTAGGTTGTTTTTTTTGTTGTTGTTGTCTGTTTTTGTCTTTCTTATTTTTTAAAGATTTATTTTATTTATTTATGCATACAAGAACTGGGGTGTAGGCCAGAGGTGTGGGAGGCGAGAGAATTCACCAGAGATACAGTGGGGAGCAGAACAGGCAGATCTGCTTAAATACACTGCTGAGGGGAGCATTGGGTGAGACAGGAGAGGTCTGCTGTACCATTTGTGGGTTAGCTCCCTTGCCAGGGATCGAACTCATGCCACAGTGGCCGGGGCTAGCTTGACTGTGCTGAGACTTTACCCCCTATGCCACCAGGCAGTCCCTGTCTCTAACTTTCTTATTGAGGCTTTCTGGAGGCATTACATTAGCTCTCGTTGTATGCCCATGGTTAATAAGTAAAGCAATTTCTTGGTGAAGCTCTGAGCTTCACTGTGGAATTATCTGGCTGAGCTATTTGCTAAGGGAGCACCAATCTTACAAACTTCAGATCTTTCCTCCTGAGCTTTACCCCAAAAATCTTTTATATTTGCCCAGAGAGTAAATTCCGGCCACTAGCTTTCTCAGAACCTGGTAAGCGATAAGGCATGGGAATCTCAGCACTCAACTGTTCGTATGTCTTTAATCATTTAATCCCCTGTTTTTGAAGCAGTGTTCACATTCTCAACTTACCAAATGTTTTCTACTTTATCCTCTCCAGAAAATATAACTCCAGCCTTCCACTAGGTAGGGGGAAGTGTGCTCCCTACTGGAAAAGAATAGAGAAGCAGATCTAGTTCATTGTTTCTCAGATTTGCTATACTTTTCCCCTCCCACTTCCTTGGAATCATGGCTGCTAGTTCCGAGCCTTCTGAGGATTCTTTTTGGTAATTAATTGGTCCCCTACTTCCCCTTCTTGTGGCTTAGCTTTCAGCTTTCTAAGATCTGTTGTCAGTTATCATTCAGCCACCTGCTTTCTGGATTCCTAAATGTGCTGTTATCTCTTCTGTTCTCTTTGACATTTTAGGGTTTTGTTAAAACAAACAACAAAAGTGCTGAGGGGAGCTCTAGTCAGGTTTGAGGACGGAGTGAAATTACAGGGGTTTGTTCAATCACCGCTTTATTGCAGAAGTCCTTTAAAACACTTCCTTCACTTTCCTTTGGCACTGTGAGTGTTGTCTTAGATTACTCCATGCTCAGTGCCAGTTTTGTGGAGAATTCCTCTCCTGTTTCTGAGCTCTGCATGTTGCCAGGCCTCAGGACCTCTGCTTTTTACTGTATTTACTCCTTAACTGGCTTCATCCAGTCCCAGAGCTCTAAATACCATCAATATGCTGATGCTGGGCCTTCCCTGGTGGTGCAGTGGTTGAGCACTGGGGTGCAAGGCTGCCCGCAGCCTCTGCAGCACCGGTTCAATCTCCGGCTGCTGGCGAGTGTCCTGCATGGCGCGCAGACCTCTCCTGCCGTGCCCGCTGCTCCCCTCAGCAGTGTGTTTCGTCTGTCTGCCTGCTCTGCTCCCCACTCTGTCTCTGGTGAATTCTCTCACCCTCCTGCGCTTCTGACTGTACCCAGTGCTTGTATAAATAAATAAATAAATAAATAAATCTTTAAAAAAAAAATATGCTGATGCTTTCCAAATTTGTATTTACAGACTGACCTCCCCACTGAATTCAGAATTGCCTACACAGTCTTCCCCTTGGATGTCCAATAAGCATTTCGACGTCTGTGCCCCTCATTCCTCAGAAGCTCTAACCCCAGTGTTCTGCTCCGGAGAGAACTCTGCCATCACCCAGCTACACAGCCAAAACCTTGGTGCTAGGTCTTGATTCTTATCCATGTCTCACATGCAACTTCTCAGGAAGTCCTAAGGAATTTATTTTTAAAATATAACCCAAGTCTGCCCACTTCTCACTACCTTAACCACTACTTCAAGTGTCTTAAGCAGAGAAGCTTGAGACCTAGGAGCACCCTGTATAAGACAGCACCCCTCCCAGCACAGCACCCTCTGTCCAGATGCGAATACCCAAGTCCAGTCCAACACCACAGAACCGATTCTGTCTTTCTCTCTTCCATCTTTGTAACTCCCTCCTCCAACAGTGAAAACCCTGGCTCCTGTCATCAACTGAAAAGGATCTTAGAGACAGTTGGAGGCCCTGACATTCAAGAGAAAAAACAGAGTAATAAAAAAGCCCAAGAAAACACTAGGTTGCTTATACAGAGTTTTTCATTTGAGAATTATGAGCTAATGTGCTCAGCCTTAGAGGAGCATTAATGATTTGCTATCATAATTTACCTTTAAATGCTCCTTTTGCATTATTTCTTTTGGGAAATGTTCTTGAAGACTAAAGTTGCCCCTCACCAATAATTTTATATGAATACTTAATTTATGGAATTATCAGTAAATATATATATATATATATATATATTTTTTTTTTTGCACAGAAAGTGGATGTAGGAAAACTCATTTCCCCTGAAATGTCTCCTTCTTAGTTGTAATTTTCTGGGCCTTCTTTCTAGATAGTGTTAGCGTCTGTACTTATATGCCACTAGAATAAGGAATTTGGAAGGAAACTCTTTCAAGCCCAGGGTCATCGTTCTGGCCCAGAAATGTTCCAGCTATTCTTCCTGGAAGTGGCTCTCCATTTCCTCCACATCACCCCACTGTTCAAGTGCCCTCTGACCTGCCTGAGAGGATTTCCTGAACATCTGGTCTGTGACAGCAGTGGCCTCGTAGTCCCTCCCAGAGGTTGGAAGTGACTTTTTGTAGGTGTCTGTACCACTACTCAAGAGTTCTCTCCCTGGTTTACTTATTTGTTCTGCCTGAGATACCACAATGCTGTTATTTAATGTTTGATCATAAAAACAGTTAAGTCCAGCTGGTGGGTGGAAGTCTCTGAAAATAAATGTACTCTCACTGTAGTTCATTTCACGCATTGCCTATTTTTTTTTTAATGCCTGGAGGAGATGCCTTTTTCTAGTTCTAAATCCCACAGAAGATGGCTGGGGCTCCTGGTTGCCTGGTTATATAAGCTTAGAGTCAGGAAAGAAGCATTGGGACAGTGACACTGTGTCTAAACACTGCTAGACGGCCGGGTGGGGTGACGAGAGCAGGGTGCAGCTAGTGACCAGTGAGGAGCAGTGTGGGGAAGGAAGATGCTTGTGAGGTTGTATGTGGCCCTGCCTGTCGACATCAATGCTGGCATGATTATTAGCTTGCTGTCTCTGGAATTCAACAGTGTGCTGATCACGTGTTCTTTACACTTTGGACCTCTGCAATGACTGCTGCACAAGTTAGGTGACTTCATGTGTCACTTAGGAGTTTTCACTACTTAAGTGTGTCTTAGTTTGGTTTTTCCTTTCCTTGAGCTGAATCCCACAGCTCCTCTAAAGAATGTGGTTGTACCGCTTCTTTGTTTTCTTTAGGGTACCAGAACATCTTGTGAAGAGCATAACTTGGCAAACGCTGCAAGCTGTAAATTTTTGCCATAAACACAACGTAAGTCTCTTGATCTCCCCTGAAAAATCAGAAGGCTTCCCTTGAGCTGAGTTGGAGCCTTTGTTCAAAGCTTATATAATTTTTCACGTACATCTTCTGAAGCCTAGTTGGAATATGTAGAGGCTAAAAATACCCACCTAACTATTCCTTCTTGTAAGGTTGCATTAAAGATGCATTTTTATGATTTTAAGAAGTAGTCATGTTTATATTGAATAGAAACTACTCAGATTTAAGATAGAACCCCTTTTATTCCCATCTATATTGGTCTGATACCCTCAAAAGGCTATGAAATTGGGGAGGGGAGCCCCTGGTGACTCGTGTCTATTCAGCTGCAGTAGGCACAGTCCCAGGAGTGCCCAGGCTGGAAGGAAGGAGCCCAGTGGGAGCCTCTGACACTTCCGGCCACAGGGAGGCCCAGTGGAGGCTCAGTGGGCTGTGCCCAGCTGGTGTGACTGCACAGATGGTGGGGAGCCGGGCTCCCGCCAGTGCAACACTGCCCACCTCGCACATAGAAACCAGATTCTATTTTCAGAGCTTCATTTTGGCCACGAGGGCAGGTTGACTATGGTCTGTCATCCTAGAGAAGGCAGGGTCCACTTAACTGGTGGGGCTGAAGCCTCTTCCTCCAGCCGTTCTACAGGAGTTTTCCTGTAGAAAAGTTGCCTTCTCAGAATGGCAAAATGAGAGCAGCCAGAGCTTCTCCCTCCTGAGCTGAAGGCTCTAATCCTTGTCAAGACCTATGTGAGCTGGAAGGTTGGGGAGGAGGTGGACACTTGAAATTGCTGTTGGTTGTGGGTGAAGGCCGTCAGTTTCCTGACAGCGGCTTTTAGAATGCTGGGGCAAGAAAGTCAGAATTGAGCCCTGCTGGGAAAGATCAGAGACGCTGAAGACAAATATAATGCATACCACAGTTCCCTGGAGAACTCCCTAGACTCTACTTGGCCACATGTGCTGTGGGGGGAGGGCATAGAAACTCGTAAAGAATTCCCAGAACAAAATAGGGGCACATTCTTGCTTACAAAGTTCTTTGACCATCTGGCATGGTGATATTTGCGGGTGTACCTAATTATAGTGATATGTGAAGCGATCTCGGAGGCATTCACTTTGAGAACCAGATAGATTGTATTAAAATAATTCAGAAATTGTCTCCTTGCCCCCAATTTTTCCAGAATAATAAATACCCATGGGGAAACAGGCACACTGATTTCACACCCTATAGGTCCATTGGAGTAACAACCAGCCCCAAGAGGACTCTCTGTCCTCTGTCCAAATTCTATTCAACAGAAAGTTTAGAATACCCCAGGGTTTTAACTGAAGCCAAGCAGGGCCTGTCAGACTGCAGATAGATCCAACATTCTTCTCCAGAAAGAGGAAAAGCTTGGGAGAGGGTAAGATTATTAGGAACCCTAAACAGTGCTTTGACCCAACTGTTGTTTTTATGTAATTGTTAATTAGGTTGTTGATTTGTTCTTTGCCAAGAAAATGGTTATTTAATGAGAAAAGCATGTAAAGATTCTTAAACCTTCTCACTAAGATCACCCCGTTAAACAAAGTCCACCGTAGTTTGGAAGGTTAGAGTCTAACCTCGGGTGTGGGGCTGCATCCTGTGGGATAGATGCAGCTCTGAGAAGACCTGATGTGTGTGAGACAGAGCTGACATCTAGCGACTGTCCCTAGAGGGTGAACATAGCCTACTGTTGTTTATCTTGTCAGGACAAATGTCAGAGCTGGAAGGGAGGTCTCTTGGCAAGCTCGTGGTTCCGCCCTTCTCTACCCCAGCTTATCTCAGCAGGCCCAGGGCTTGTCCTGTTTACCAGGCGGATGGTGTCTGTTCTCAGTTAAACAACTGCATTGTGGCTCTGCTTATGCCCCAACTTGTGGCTCCCACAATCATGGTGCAGCCTCATCCAGAGCCTTATACGCTGCCCTGTCACTTCAGGTTGCGAAGTTAGATACAAGACACCCAGCTAAAGGTGGAGTCAGATAAGTAATCCTGCTGTCATGGAACATACACAAAAAATTCCTTGTCTACCTGAAATTCAAATTTGACTGGGTGTCCTGCATTTTTGTTACATGTGACTACCCTACTCTCATTTTCCTATTCACCCTTGTTTGTCTTTTTGGGCCCTTCTGGAATTTAGATGATTCAAGCTATGATAGGTGTGGTACTAGATTTATTTTAAGCTGCTGTTTTGCAGCTTATTATCCAAAAGGCCTGTGTGAGGTTCAGATTATTTAACAAATATTTGCTAAAAATTAATGTGTTTTGATTATCTCATATACTGTCATTTCTCTTTAATAATCTGTGTGTGTTTGGTTTTTGCGGTTAGTGCATACATAGAGATGTGAAGCCAGAAAATATCCTCATCACAAAACATTCAGTGATTAAGCTTTGTGACTTTGGATTTGCTCGGCTTTTGAGTGAGTATTGACATTTTCTTAAATGTAAAAGATGAAAAGATTCTTTATGTGATAAAGATCCAAATGCCATAGAAAGATAGCTCTTATAATTTAGGGCATAAGCTTGATATAAATTACAGTTTTGTAAGTACTGAAAGATGTAGACACATGCGGTGGTTTTAAAATGTATGCTATATATAAATTATGCCACAGTGGTTCTTAAAAAGTATGTTCCCCTCTTGGTTTCTACCATTTTTTGCTAAAATTATACTTTACAGAAATAATGTTATAGAAGAGTGGTTTTCAACTTTGGCTGTAGATTAGAATCATCTGGGGAACTATAAGCTCTAACTATAAAAACTCTACTGACACCCCCAAGTACCTCCCCCCAGGGTTTTTGGCTTTTTGCACTGGGTTGGGGCCGAAACATCAGTAATTTAAAAAATACTATATTCCAAGTATTTGGAAGTGATTTTAATGTGCAACCAGTATTGAGAACCACTGATTTAGAAAAGCCACAAGATGGGGCCCAAGCTTGATGTGTCAGGTCTGCCCCCTCCCAGTTTTGATTCCAGGATTCCAGCGCTCTCTCTGTTTTCCATGTTCCATCTCTGCCAGCTGGCCCAAGTGACTACTACACAGACTACGTGGCTACCAGGTGGTACCGCTCCCCAGAGCTTTTGGTTGGGGACACGCAGTATGGCCCTCCGGTAGATGTTTGGGCAATTGGCTGTGTCTTTGCTGAGCTGCTCTCAGGGTTGCCTTTGTGGCCAGGAAAATCAGACGTGGATCAACTCTATCTGATTAGGAAAACTTTGGGTAAGTGGTGTTTTTGGGGAAACTGGATAGTTTTACCCATATCAGTGCAAGGCAGAGCCAAGTTTCTAGTCTCATCTGAATGTTCAAGTGACTCCAATAAAGATGTTCACATTTATTTTAATAAAAGAATGAACATTTTTGGGTAGGTACAAATGGCCCAAAAAGACATCAGATTTTCTCTTCAGCATAGTTTGAATCAAATCAGACTGAATAATGATCATAGAAACAATAGAAACTTACTTTTCTATAAGGGCGTAACAGTTCACAAAATACTATTATGCTTTATTTCATATCCTTTTTAAAAAGATTTATTTATGCATACAAAAACTGGGGTACAGGTCAGAGGTGTGGAGGGTGAGAGGATTCACCAGAGAGAGAGTGGGGAACAGAACAGAGAACAGGCAGATTGACTGAAGTACACTGCTGAGGGGAGCAGCGGGCCAGTCAGGAGAGGTCTGCTGTGCCATGTGGGTAGCTCCTTGGCTGGGGATCGAACTCGTGCTGCAGTGGTTGTGGACAGCTTCATAGGTTGTATCTTAACCCCTTGCGCCACAAGGGAGGCCCCTTATTTCATATCTTATGATGTACTAATTCATTCTTTGGATGTCCTTGACTCATCCTACCAGACTAGTTTGGATTATTCAGACGTATGGGTTCTTCCCATCCGTAGGTAGTGTTCATGTTTGGTATGATTCATTTGGTTATTATAGGGTCTAGAAACCCTAAAAAAATCCATATAAATTAATGGCAATAGTGTTTCTGGACCCCAAAAATAACCTACCAACTCATATTCACTCTACCAAATAGAACATTTTGGTAAAGGAAGATTGTCAACCTTCTAAGTCAGGAAGAAAGTAGCATCACTCTTCTTGTTTTGTTTTCCCACCCCAACGTCCTTTCCTTTTTTCTTTTTAAGATTTATTTATTGATGCATACAAGAGCTGGGGTGCAGGCCAGAGATGCGGGGGGTTAGAGGATTCACCAGAGACAGAGTGGGGAGCAGAACAGGCAGACTGACGAAATACACTGCTGAGAGGAGCAATGGGCGAGATAGGAGAGGTCTGCTTTGCCATGTGGGTTGCTCCCTGGCCGGCTGGGGATCCAACTCCTGCTGCAGAGGCTACTATTGCTTCATAATGCGGTGCTTAACTCCTTGTGCCACCAGGGAGGCCCTTTCCTTTTTTTCTACTCTTGAGGGGAGGGCGGGGAGAAGGAAGGAGAGAGAGAAGCAGATGAAAAGCTCTATCAGCAGGAATTGCCCTCTTCCAAAAAGTCAGGGATCCCTGAGTATCCCAATTTAAAGTGAGCAATTTTTCCTTTAACCTCTTATAGCACCTCCTGTCACCAATGCCTTGTCTTGTGCTTTTTTTTTTTTTTTAAAGATTGATTTATTTATTTATACAAGCACTGGGTACAGTCAGAAGCGCGGGAGGGTGAGAGAATTCACCAGAGCCACAGCGGGGAACAGAGCAGGCAGACTGATGAAGTACACTGCTGAGGGGAGCAGCGGGCAGCAGGCGAGGTCTGCACTCCATGTGGGACCCTCGCCCAGCGGCCGGGGATTGAACCCGTGCTGCAGAGGCTAAGGACAGCCTTGCAACCCAGCGCTCAACCGCTGTGCCACCAGGGAGGCCCCTCATCTTGTGCTTTCATCTTCCCAAAGATACATTTATCTTCCACTAATGCCTGCACATTATAGGCGGTAAATGTTTGTTAATGGCTTTTCTTGAGTGACACATTAGACAACCTGGAGTCCCTCCAGGGCACTCAGCTGCCTTCTGCTGTGTTTCCCATGGTGATTTTAGGGCACCCCCTCTGCATGCCCTGCCTCCATCTCTCTGGGTTATGAAAGTACAGGCAGTGTGCTCATGATGAAGCTCACTGAAAACTGGGGTAAGGCATTAGAGAGGATATTTTGGCTGCTCATCCAAAATGGGATGGGATACAACTTTTAGATTTGAGTGAAAGATCAATTTCCAAAAGAAATCAGCACATTTGACTGATGGGGTAGGAACTCCAGCCAGGTCCAATGGCAGCACTTCTGGGGCCTTGGCAGAGGGCAGGGAGTGTTTTTCTCACTCTTCTCTGGGAAGTAGACCTGGAAGTACCCTCTGAGTATCTCCTTATACATCTTTCAGCAAAATTACTCTTCAAGTGTAACATCCCAAGAATTTTATGTGAGGATGATTTTAACTCATTTGGCTAAGATATATGTAGGGTGAAGTTCATATAATACCCAAGAATATAGGGCCTCCCCGGTGGCGCAGCGGTTGTGAAGCTGCCTGCAGCCTCTGCAGCGCTGGTTCGATCCCCGGCAGCTCCCTGGCCACCGGAGGAGGGTCCCACATGGCTCGCAGACCTCTCCTGCTGCCCGCTGCTCCCCTCAGCAGTGTACTTCGGTCCTTCTGCCTGCTCTGCTCCCCGCTCTGGCTCTGGTGAATTCTCTCACCCTCCCGCGCTTCTGACTGTACCCAGTGCTTGTATAAATAAATAAATAATCTTAAACAAAAAAAAGGAAATAATTAAAAAAAAATACCCCAGAATATAGATATGATTTTGTTATTGCTTCTAAACAATAAATAAAGTGGGATTTCCAAGTGATTGCTAGTTGAAAAAACAAGAACTGGTGATTGCAACTCTGAAACGTATTCCTTTTAGCTGGAAGATCTTTCATGATTTCCTATCCTCCCTCCTTCCTTTTTTTCTCCCTCCCTCCCTCTTTCCCTTCTTCCTTATTTCCTGCTTTTTTTCTTTTCTTCTTCCCTCCCTCTCTTCTTTCCTTCTTCAAATATTGGTTGAGTGCTTGCTATGTGGTAGTCCCTGCTCTAAGTGCTAGGTGAATGCTTTCATCTTGACCCTCAGGATTCATCTGGCCTTCAGTTTCTGGGCCTCCCCTGTGCTTTTGCAGTTTGTCTACTGTAGGTCTCATGCAGATAGTGGAGAGCTGCCCAAATGCTTCTCCCTCTGACTGGAAGACAAAACTTGAACCTAGACAGGGGTACAGACACCAAAGATGGGGTAAACCATAGATTAGTGCTTGCTAACTTGCTCTCACTTTCTTCTTGTCCAAAGGAGACCTCATTCCTAGGCACCAGCAAGTATTTAGCACAAATCAGTACTTCAATGGGGTGAAAATTCCAGACCCTGAAGATATGGTGAGTAACCTATTTGGCGAAGAGCCCTGTGTGTCAGGACTATGATGCTTTAAGTGGTGATCTTTCTGTTTACATGGAGTTTCAGGCTGACTAGGTTTTGGTGTTAGTCACTGCCTGAGCTATAGCTCAGCTTGCACTGGAAGGTCGGTCTAAGAGTGGTAAAGAAAATCACAGCAAAATTAAAAAAAGTTAATAGGGAGGAAAAGCGGCAGGTCCCAGTGAGAACTGGGACACGGAAGATAAACGGACGACTCCAGCAAACTACCCGAAGAAGAAAGTGGCCATAAAAGAGGACTAGAAGGGAGGGAAGCGCAGAACCCTGCTCCCCTCCCCCGCCCGCAGAGGCGGCACTCTCCGACCGGCAGAGAGGAGGAAACAACAAACCAAAACGGCCAACAAGAACAAACGACGCAGCAAGCGGGACTGTGCGTGGAAAGGAACTATTGCAGCCACCACACCCCGTGAACGGGAGCTGAGGCGAACCCTGCAGGATCCGCAGCTGCGGCGGTGAGCGAACGGCTCCGGGCGCCATTAGAGAAGAACAAAGACCCCGGGAGACGCGCACACAGCCCGGGCTGCCGGTAAGCTGGCGCGGAAATGCGGCGCGCTCGGCACACTTGAAAAGCAAGTGCAGACCTGGATCGCGGCTGCCCAGGTCCCCGCGCCTGCGACCTAGGCTTGCGGGGAGACGACCTAGGCTTGCGGGGAGACTCACGGAGGTCCTCACTGAGGTGAAGGTCCCTCCCTGAGTGAGCAGGAACCAGGCGCCCAGGCACGGGAGCGGGGTGCAAAAGGCGCCATTCCCGCGCCACTGAACTGGGCTACAGCCCGCATCCTGGAACTGAGGGCTTTGAACTGAGACCCGGGGCACGAAAATTCGGGGCGTGGTTTCTCCACGACGGTGGGGCATAAGGCAGACACAGCACCCCAAAGCTGTTGAGGTGTACCCTACCATTCCCGCTCTGTTCTCTGTCCCACGGGGTGGGGGGAGGCGAAAAACAGCCCCCCAAGGACAATAGGAGAGATCTCTGGCGCCACCTAGCGACCAGGAAAAAAAAAGTCACTAACACCCTATAAAACAGGACATTTCTTAAGACTGCTTGAAAAGGGCAGAAGGTTTCTGGAGGACCCAGTGGCCAGCTGGGAAGTTATTCCACGCCAGGCCGCTTCCGACCAGCAGTCTGAGCCCACAGAGGGAGCAGGCACCCACGTCCGGGGCAGACCGGGTGCGCAGAAGAGTGTGCCTGAAACCGGAGGCGCAGGGACTGCATCCCGCTTCGCCATTTGAGAACAGGGACATTTCTTCAGTAAAAACTGCCTAAAACCAGCAGAAATCTCCCCCAGAAGACAGAGATGGCTCCTGGAAGAGCCAGAGGGGAGCGGAGAAGTTCACCCAAGATGTCAGTCAGTCCGAGCAACACAGTGTCCCAACGCATACGACAAATTAGAAAACAGACAGTAGGGAGTAGAAGAACCACACGCAACCTAAAAACTCCTCAGGAAAGAAGCACACCACAAAAAGAAAACCACTCCCCAGATTGCAACGACAGCAACTTGGAAGAACTTCTGAGCCTTCCAGAAAGAGAATTTAAAATTGCCATGATTAAAAAAGTGATAGATCAGAAGAAGGAAATTGAGTCCCTAAAGAGGGAAGTAAGAGAAATGCAGGAGATCAAAGAATTAATGGAGGAACTAAAGAACTCTGGGAAAAGCAATGAAAGCAGAATAGATGAAATGGAAGAACGAATAAGTAATCTTGAAGACACAGAAATAAAAAGAACCAAAACAGAAAGGAAAGAGAAGTACGAAGGAAAAAGAATGAAGAAAGACTTCGAGAACTATCTGACTCCATGAGGAAAGGAAATATAAGAGTTATAGGAATTCCAGAAGGAGAGGAGAGAGATGTAGGAACAGAGAAAATATTCATGGATATAATTGAAGAGAACTTCCCAAATGAGAAGAAGGAGCTGAAAATTGATATACAAGAAGCAAGAAGAACACCAAACTTCCACGACGAAAGGAAAAACACAGCAAGACACATAATAGTAAAGCTCCCAAGAATCCAGGACAAGGAAAAAATAATGAAGCTGACAAGAGGGAAGAAACAGATAACATTCAAAGGAAAACCAATCAGGCTGACATCAGACTTCTCTGAAGAAACACTACGGGCAAGGAGAGAGTGGAGGGACATAGTCAACAGACTCCAAGAAAACAGATGCCAACCAAGAATACTCTATCCCGCAAAGCTCTCTTTCCTCCATGAAGAAAGAATATGGACCTTCCCAGACAAAGAGAAACTCCGGAATTTCATTGCGACTAAACCCCCACTCCAAAAAATACTACAAGGAATCCTAAAGCCAGACCTCAGAGGGACGAATAACAACGAAAGAAGACCAAAAAAAAAAAAAGTTATTAAAAGAATAAATAAATAAAATCAAAGGAAAGACAAACATAATGGCAAATACAGATGCTAACATATCAATATTAACTCTAAATGTAAATGGACTAAACTCTTCAATAAAAAGACACAGAGTTGCAGCCTGGATTAAGAAACAAAACCCAACCTTTTGCTGTCTCCAGGAAACACATTTAGCTACAAAAGATAAAAATAGGCTCAAAGTCAAAGGATGGAAAACAATCCTACAAGCAAATGGGCCAAAAAAGAAAGCAGGAACAGCTATACTTATATCAGATAAAACAGACTTCAAACTCAAAAAAATAAAAAGAGACCCCAATGGTCACTACATTATGATTAAGGGGACAATACTTCAAGAAGAAATAACACTCATTAACATATACTCACCAAACGAAAGAGCACCAAAATATATCAGACAACTGTTGTCCTCTCTGAAAACAGACATCAGAGAAAACACATATGTAGTGGGAGACTTCAACACACCACTATCAACAATGGATAGATCAACAAGACAAAAAATAAGTAAAGAAACTAAAGCTCTAAATAAGGACCTAGAGCATTTGGGCTTAACAGACATCTATAGAACACTAAACCCAAAAAAAACGGAGTACACATTTTTCTCAAGCGCACACGGATCATTCTCCAGGATCGATCACATACTGGGGCACAAGACAAACATCAACAGATACACCAAGATTGAAATCATACCAACCATCTTTTCTGACCACGAAGGCATCAAACTAGAAATAAATCATAAAAAGAAGGCAAGGAACTATCCTACCTCATGGAGATTAAAAGCACACTACTGGAAGACCACTGGACTAACGAGGAGATCAAAGAAGAAATTAAAAAATTCTTTGAATTGAATGACAAGGAGGACACCAATATCCTAAATGTATGGGATGCAGCAAAAGCAGTAATAAGAGGAAAATATATAGCAATAGAAGCTCACATCAAAAACAAGAAAGAACTCAAAGAAACAACCTAATCTCGAAGCTCAAAGATCTAGAAAAAGAACAACAAAAAACCCCAGAACCAGTAGAAGAAAAGAAATAATAAAAACCAAAGCAGAAATAAATGAAATTGAAACTAAAAAAACAATCCAAAAGATCAATGAAACCAAGAGCTGGTTCTTTGAAAAAATCAATAAAATAGACAAACCCCTAGCCAGGCTCACAAAGGAAAAAAGGGAGAAAGCACAAATACACAGAATCATAAATGAAAGAGGAGAAATCACAACGGACACAGCAGAAATCAAAAGAATAATCAGTAACTACTATGAACAGTTATATGGAAACAAGTTCAACAATCTAGAGGAGATGGACAAATTCCTACAACTCTACAATCACCCAAAGCTAGATAAAGAAGAAATAGAACACCTAAACAGACCAATTACAAGCAGCGAAATTGAAATGGTAATTAAAAACCTCCCCAAAAACAAAAGCCCAGGACCTGATGGATTTACAAATGAATTCTACCAAACATTCAGAGACGAATTAGTGCCTATCCTTCACAAACTCTTCCAAAAAATTGAGAAGGAAGGGACAATACCAAACACGTTCTATGAAGCCAATATTACACTAATACCAAAACCGAATAAGGACAACACAAAAAAGGAAAACTATAGGCCAATCTCCCTAATGAACACTGATGCAAAAATCCTCAATAAAATTTTAGCTATCAGAATCCAACAATGTATCCATAAGATAATTCACCACGACCAAGTTGGATTCATTCCAGGGGCACAAGGATGGTTTAACATCCGAAAATCAATCAACGTTATCCAACACATCAACAAAAAGAAATATAAAAACCATATGATAATATCAATAGATGCTGAGAAAGCTTTCGACAAAGTGCAACACCCATTCATGATAAAGCCCTTGAAATTCTTGGGATACAAGGAACATACCTCAACATCATAAAGGCCATCTATGACAAGCCAACAGCCAGTATCATTCTCAATGGTGAAAAGCTGAAAGCAATTCCATTAAGATCTGGAACAAGACAAGGATGTCCACTCTCACCACTGCTTTTCAATATAATACTGGAAGTCCTAGCCAGAGCAATAAGACAAGAGAAAGACATCCAAGGAATCCAAATAGGAAAAGAAGAAGTCAAACTATCACTATTTGCAGACGATATGATATTATACATAGAGAACCCCAAAAACTCCACAGAAAAGCTAATTCAACTCATCAATCAGTTCAGTAAAGTGGCAGGATACAAAATCAACATGCAAAAGTCAGTAGCCTTCCTATACACAAACAATAAATCTGAAGAAGAAGAAATAAAAAAAACCATCCCTTTTGTTATTGAAACAAAAAAAATCAAATATTTGGGAATAAATCTAACAAAAGAGATAAAGGACCTATACAAAGAAAACTATAAAACACTGTTAAAAGAAATAGAAGAAGACACAAAGAAATGGAGAGACATCCCCTGCTCATGGATTGGAAGAATAAACATTATTAAAATGGCCATCCTTCCAAAAGCAATATACAGATTCAATGCTATTCCAATCAAAATTTCAATGTCATTCTTCAAAGAAATAGAACAATTATTGATGAAATTCATATGGAATCACAAAAAACCCCGAATAGCCAAAGCTCTCCTGAAAAAAAAAGAAAGGAATGGAGGCATCACACTCCCAGACTTCAAACTATACTACAAAGCCATAATCATCAAAACTGCATGGTATTGGAACAAGAACAGACATACAGACCAATGGAATCGAATAGAAAATCCAGAAATAAATCCACAGATTTATGGTCAACTAATCTTTGACAAAGGAGCAAAGACTATGCATTGGAGCAAAGAAAGTTTGTTCAATAAATGGTGCTGGGAAAACTGGGTCGCTACATGCAAAAGAATGAAGCTTGACCACTACCTCACACCATACACAAAAATCAACTCAAAATGGATTAAAGAACTAGACATAAGACCTGAAACCATAAAATATATAGAAGGAAATATAGGCGAAACACTACGTGATCTGCACATCAAAGACATCTTTACAGACACATCACCCAAAGCAGTGATAGTGAAGGCAAAGATAAACAGCTGGGACTACATCAAATTAAAGAGCTTCTGCACAGCAAAAGAGACAATAACAAAAACAAAGAGAAACCCCACCAACTGGGAGAACATTTTTGCACCCAACACTAATGATAAAGGACTGATCACAAAAATCTGCAAAGAACTGATGAGACTCAGCAACAACAAAGAAAATAATCCAGTCAAAAAATGGGCAGAAGAGCTAAAAAGAAACTTCTCTGAAGAGGAAATGCAAATGGCCAACAGGCATATGAAAAAATGTTCAACATCACTTGCCATCAGGGAAATGCAAATCAAAACTACCATGAGATACCATCTTACACCAGTGAGAATGGCACATATTAAAAAAACTAGCAACAACAAATGCTGGCGAGGGTGTGGAGAAAAAGGAACTCTTCTGCACTGTTGGTGGGAGTGCAAACTGGTCCAACCACTGTGGAGAGCTGTGTGGAGATTTCTGGACCTACTAAACATAGAGCTTCCATATGATCCAGCAATTCCACTCCTAGGTATTTACCCAAAGGACACAGAAACATCAATTCCAAAGAACACCTGCACCCCTATGTTTATAGCAGCACTGTTTACAATAGCTAAGCTTTGGAAACAACCCAAATGCCCAAAAATAGATGACTGGATCAAGAAGATGTGGTACATATATACCATGGAATATTACTCAGCATTCAAAAAAGATAAACACATGCAATTTGCAGCAACATGGATGGCGCTGGAAGGGATCATGCTCAGTGAAATAAGCCAAAAAGAAAAAGAAAAATACCGGATGGTCTCACTCATAGCAGGAATCTAGAAAACTTAAATAAGGGACCAGGAAAATGAATAACTATAAGAAAGTGAAAATCAAAATCAACAAAAAACTATGAACCAGAGACACTTTTAGGGGGCGGGGGCGGGAGGGGAGGGATTGGGGTCAGAATGGGGCGCTGCAATTGTATGGGGAATATAACAATAAATTTTTATAAAAAAAAAAAAAAATAAAAAAAAAAATAAAAGTAAAAAAAAAAAAAAAAAAAAAAAAAAAAAGAAAATCACAGCAAATTGGCTAGTAAGACCGTGGCCTTCAGTGTCAATTTAAGCCTGCTAGTAGCAGAGTGTAGCCAGCATGCTGGACAGGAATGTAGAACTGCCTGGCCTAACCTCACCTGCAACTGAAAATAATATCATTTTCAGTTGCAGAAGCTAGTAGTTCAGAGTCATTCAAGTCTTAGGCAAAGACCATCTAGGAAAATCCAGCAGTGTACAAACCCCTTCTCTACTGTGCTCAGAACATGGGAGAAAGCGGCAGTGAACTTGACTGGCCAGCTTCACTCCAGTGCCTCTCCTGTGTGGCCAATGTGGAAAAAACATTCATTCTTAAAAAACTGAAAAATTTAAAAAATTGCATACTCTTAAGCCACTTTTAAGAATTTATCCCAATGAAACCATTAGACTATTAGACCATTAGACTAAGAATATAAAGATGTAGCATTCTTTTTTTAAAAGATTAATTTATTTATGCATACAAGAGCTGGGGTGTAGGCCAGAGGTGGGGAGGGGTAAGAGGATTCACCAGAGACAGAGTGGGGAGCAGAACAGGGGGATTGACTAAAAATACATGCTGAGAGGAGCAGCGGGTGAGACAGGAGAGGTCTGCTGTGCCATGTGCATCACCTCCCTGGCTGGGAATTGAAATCGTACTGTAGTGGCTGCGGATAGCTTCATAGTGCTTAGACTTAACCCCTTGCACCTCCAGGGAGAACCCTGATGTAGCATTCTTTAATAGAAGTCATTTCCTTTAGTGTTCCATCAATAGGGGATTAAATAAGTCTTGGTACATTCTTATAAAAGAAATACCATATAGTCAGTAAAATAATTAGATTTATATATATTCACCTTTAAAAAAAGTCTACACATTATTGCTAAATAAAAAAACTGTTTCTGTGTGTATATGACATAATTTTAATAAAAATAAAAATATACACATATGGACATATGTAAATACAAAATAATGACAACCTCTAGAAAATCATGCAAAATTTTTTACACTTGTGAACTAAATGGCTGCAAGGACATATGCTGAAATATTAACAAGGGATTTTCTTTATTTTTTTTATATTTTTAATGTCTTCTAAATATTTCAGAGCACAATTAAGTTTGTGAAATCCTGAAATGTACTGTTAAGGAAGGTATTTTCAAATAGAAACTAGTCCTCCGATGGCTGTGTCCAGATGGAAGTTGCATCTGAGCCGTCTGTTCCCTCAACCTCTTGGCTTATCCTGCAACAAAGGCTTCCACTTTCCGCTTCCCCACTGCCCGCCTTCCGCAGCACTAGCAATAGGAAAAGTGGGTCATGCTGGATCAGGCTGAGACACAGAGGCAGGAATGACATCTGGCATATGGGAGGTGACCCAGCTGCTCCCTGTGACCTGGAAGGTCCCAGTTGCACACAAAATTTCCCTTAGAGATTTCCTGTTCGCTTGTCTACCAGTGAAGCCTCAGAAACAACCAGGTTTCATAAACGTAAAAAACTTCCTATGGTTTCTCAGAGGTTGTCCTGCAGGGGATTTCCTGTTGACAGAAACACAGGAAGAAGCCTTGTGGGGGCTGCGTTGGTGGACATCTGTGCCCTTGTCCCTCTGCCGGTCATTTGGAAAGCTCGCAGGAGGAGGCCGGCTTGCTCCTGGGGCTGGAAAACCGGCTAAGCAGGCAGGATGGGCCCGTCCATCGCAGCCAACCTGTGGACCTTGTCTCAGGCTCGCGGCTGAGGCAGCAGAACCCAGTGTCAGCGGTGCTGTGTCAGTCCCCAGCGGGGCTCAGATTCAATGCACAGAAATAGCCAGGGACATATCTAAGCTATGGAGAAAAAGGCTCTCAAAGACTAATACAAACCTCCTGTAGGATTATTTTTCCTGTTGATCTTGGGAAACTCCGAAACGGAGGCCCTTGTATCAGAGCTTAGTAAGTGTACTCTGGGGAACTGGCTATTGGGGGGTGGCTTCCAGTCCCAAATAACTTGGTGCTCTTTTACTTGGCACATCACCCAAGACTGTGTTTCATTAGAGGTGCTGGCCGGCCACTCCATCGTCCAGCTCACACACGCCATCTTTTTACACACAGTGTCCTTGCTCATTTAAGTCAGCTTGGCCAGTGCTCATTTTTTTTTTTTTTAAAGATTTATTTATACAAGCACTGGGTACAGTCAGAAGCGCGGGAGGGTGAGAGAATTCACCAGAGCCAGAGCGGGGAGCAGAGCAGGCAGAAGGACCGAAGTACACTGCTGAGGGGAGCAGCGGGCGCCAGGAGAGGTCTGCGCGCCATGTGGGACCCTCCTCCGGTGGCCGCGGGCAGCTTCGCAACCCAGCGCTCAACCGCTGCGCCACCGGGGAGGCCCGGCCAGTGCTCATTTAAGTCAGCTTGCTGGCTCTCATTTCCTTGGCCTCCCTGCTCCATTACCGTTTGTGTCGGTGGTACATCTCTTCAACTGGCCTGTCTGTCTGCCAGAATTTTGGCCTTCCTCCCACTTTATAGGTTTTTATTACTGATTGTCTCCATCATGTGACTGGAGCACAATATCCCATGTGGCCAAAGGGAGAGTGATGAATGTCTGCAGGGAGGCTCTTTATAAACAGTGTGATGATCAGGGAAACATCACTCTCTTGTGGGAGGAGATAACAGTGTTTATTCTAGAAAACCAAGAAGCATCTCTTCATCTGTGTAGAAAAAATTCTATTCTGAATTTATATAAATGTCAACAAATGTAATAATTAAGAACATTTTATATAAATGCCAAAGCTTGTTCTGAGAAAAGGCACACTCTATAAATTGAGGCAGAAAAAAATAACAATTACTTGACAAGTTCTCCCCTCTCTTTCATCAGTGTTCCCTAATAATTTGCTACTTGCATCAGCACTTCAGAAAGTGAAGGGAGTGGTTAAGAAGAAAATTTTGAGAAGCAATTTGGAGGTGGGGAAAGAAGGAGCTTGTGAAACTGACATAGGAGGTTGTTTCAGGTGGGAGGTGGGGTGTGCAGAGGGTGGAGGAGGGAAGAAGGATGCCGGGAAGATGATGCTCTTACTCAAAAGAAAGTCAATCTGAAGCAACCTAATTTTGAATATCCTATAAATAAAACCCCCTTTTCTTTTCTTTCCTTTTTTTTTAAAACAGGAACCACTGGAATTAAAATTTCCAAACATCTCTTTTCCTGCCTTGGGACTCCTAAAGGTAAAACCAGGACTTCTAACAGACCAGAAAGTAAAGTACACAGCCGCTGTTACCATTGGGGAATCTGAATGATTTATGTCAATTCATGAATTGAAAAGTGCTCCATTAGTATACTTTTTCTCCTTTGAAAAGTATAAATATTTCCAGTTTTTAAAATGGGTCACATTCTATTACAGTGAAAACATCTGTTTTTCATTTTAAATAAACCTAATATTATATTTGAAATCTAAATTGACACAAAATAGAAATTTCAGAGGGGCGATATTTTACAAAAAAAATTCTTTTCTTCAAAAAATGTGCAGCCATAAGATCCCCTTAAGTAGCCAACTCCCTAGTGTTCTTGAAGTAGGTTTTGATTTTAAATTTATTTTTATGTTTTTAGAAATATATAGCATTGTGTAAAATGAGGAACATATTTTAATTGGAAGCTATAGTCAACGTCTACCTCAAAAAGTATGTAATACATTTACAAAATTGAGAATGTTCCTTGGGGTATGTAGTTGTAAGATTTAATCTATCCAAGTATGAGCCCTATGGCCTACTTAATGGCAAAGCAAATAGTTAAGAATGATGTAATATAAAAGCATGACTATTATGCTTCCCCTTTCTACACATATACATGTGCTCGTAATATATAGACTATTTTTGGAATATACCTAAAACAAAACAAAGTGGCTAATTGTATAAGGGGAGGGAGTAGAAGAATTAGGACTTTGCTGTATCCTGCATGCATTTTACTTTTACCATACATAGGTATTATTTTTTTCAGTAAACTAGTTTTTACAAAGTATGTCTAAGGGACCAAAATGGTTAAGTGGATTATTCCAGTTGGACACTGAAGTGAACTAAAAAAGCATATACTATTTCCTCAGGGCAGAGTACCAACTGCCTGGAGAATAGAACAAGTTGGAGAAAATGATTGTTACTGTTTCTAGAAGCTATTTATTTATTATGGGATTACACATTTAGGAATTATTGTGAAAGAAATTAAATCATGATTGTTGTGTTTTTCTTACCTTTTCCCCCTCTTGGTTCTAACTGAAGACTTTAATCTTTCAGAGAAAAAGAGTAACAGTAGTAAGCTAATACAACTTTAGAGAAGTAAGAAAAGGAAACTTTCTGTTCTTCTAGGGCTGTCTCCACATGAATCCTGCTGAGAGACTGACTTGTGAACAGTTGTTGCAGCACCCATACTTTGACACCATCAGAGAAATTGGGGATTTGGCAAAAGAGCATGACAAGCCAACAAGGAAGACCCTGAGACCAAGCCGAAAGCAGCTACCTGGGGTAAAAGTGGAGCACTGTTTGCCAAAGCATGCAAGGTTGCAGGTCCAACAGATCTCATACTTCCCTCCTGGTGCAGACTGAATCTATACTTCAGGTTGCAGGAGTGGCTTGAAGCTCCAGCACCCTCATTCCAACACTAGGAGATGGGGTCACGTGATCTATCTGGCAGGGCCCCAAAGAGGTCTGCCTTCTAAGGCCCCTTCTCCCTGAATCCTATGGGTCTCCTGGCCCTGCAGTTCCCTGCTGCCACTCAGTGACCAGAGTTTTGGGTGTGCATAAGCACAAGTCTCAGCCAGGTTTATGAGTGTGAGACTAACTGAGCATATTCCTGTGCTTTAGAAAATGAAATCAGATTTTTCCCAGACAGTTAACTATGATGTTTAACCTTAAGTATTAATTGACATTCCAGGTTTATCCAAGAAGGGATTCATCAGAATTATCGAGGATAAATACAGTGATGAGTGCATTCAGTGATCGCAGAACAGTACACATGACCAAAGAATGGCATTCACACTGCACACTGTGGAGCCTGTGAAGAATCATGATTAGTGTAAAATAGCAAAATGGTCTTAAGTAGCTATTCTTAAGCCAAAAGCTGTAATAATTTAGAATGTATTGTAGTTGTAACCACAACTAAGATGAGCTGGCTGTTCTGGGTTACTTTTTTTTTTTTAAATTTTTATTTATTTATGCATACAAGAGCTGGGGTATAGGACAGAGGTGGCAGTGGGGTTTGGGGGGGGGGGCTAGAGAATGAAAGGATTCACCAGAGACAGAGTAGGGAGCAGAACAGGCTGATCTACTGAAATACATTGCTGAGGGGAACAGCAGGTGAGACAGGAGAGGTCTGCTGCACCATGTGGGTTAGCTCCCTGGCTGGGGATTGAACTCATGCCGCAGTGGCTGCTGAAATCTTCATAGTGCTATGCTTAACCCCTTGCCCCACCAAGGAGGCCCCTGTTCTGGGTTCCTTCTGGATCTGTCAGGTACCACTTAAACTATCAGTTATCTTGCCTTAGTCTCCCTTTGCAGCCTCCACACTTACACTGGAGGTTTTGTGGAAAGGAGAGTAGATAGGTCCATTGGGAACAGGTACCACATGAACTCCAGAGCCCTAAAACAGGCCAGCGCTGTGGAAGTAAGAATGCTTTCAATCTGGTCTTTGTCATTTATGACCCAGGTAGCAAAACGAGCTGAAACAGACTTTCCCCACAGAGTTGCCCCTTAGTTTGCTGTTACTTTGAATAAAGGGTCTTGATGGAAATCTTTCTACTTGAAAGAATAGAGGACCCCTGTGAATTGGTGTATATTTTTATAGGTCTTGAAAGGATTCAACTGTTTAGTTTAAAAGAACTAAAAACTAACTTCTTTTCATATACCTAGGGTCATATAGAACACAAAAAATATAGGTGTAATCTCACTTTCATTTGACATTGACAATAAATCCAAGCATTTGCTGGCCGCATAAAGAGAGCAGTTTTGCCTTTTTTAACTAAAGAGTAAGGGGGCAAGTCACTAAAGTGCTCCGGATGCCAGTTTTCTTTGCTATAAGAAAAGGCATTGACTTAAATGATCCCTAAGGATTCAGCAGGCTCTTAACTCCTGTGAATCTATACTCCCCCCCAAACATTAATATACAAATCTTTCCTTCTTTTTCATATCTTCTATAATGTGCATTTGCTTTTTAATTATAAAATAAACCTTTAAAAAGAAAAGCAAAGACCAAATTTAAACATTTTGCTCTCTAAAGTGCTGGATATGTGCACAGAGAGTATTTCTGTGCTGAAAAAGTTACTGACTTCTTTTGTAATTTATTATCAATAATCAAAAAAGTGGACAGCAACATATGTAATTATGTGCTTTGTATTTGCAGCTGCAGTATCTACCTCAGCTGGCCAGCAGCAGCATCCTTCCAGCTTTGGACACCAAGAAGTACTACGGTAATACCAAGAAACTTCACTATCGTTTTCCAAACATTTAAGGATCTTAGAGACTAATGATAAGAAAGGGAAATGATCAATAATTTGAAGAAAATAAAACATATATAGTTGTTTGAAAACAACAATGTTGAAAACCATCAGGAGAAAACATTAAGTAACTAACTCACTGGGAGGCCCCTTGGCAAGATGTGAAGGGAAATTCCAGATGCAGTCTTCCTGCTTGATGGTGGTGTACAGACAGAGTGAAAACTTACTTGGATTTTCATTTATATTTTTGTTGTATCTAAGTGACTTAGCTTATGGACTAAATATTAATTGTATCTCCTGCCCATAACTCTGGCAAAATTAGAGAAGTAACAAAAGATGAATACTTCAATTTTACTATACGCAACAAGTGAAAAATGGATTACAGAATGCCCACATGTATTTCCATAGACACTTGCCCTGAGTCCTATCTCCTGTTTTTCATATTGTCTCAACATCCTATTTAAGGCGTTTCCATTCTTAAAATCAAAATGTTTAAAATTCCATTTCATGCTTTTCTCTTTTGATTTTTATACTTTGAATTTTTTTTGAATCTTTGAGTTCCAAATATTTAAAATTATGTGGATTTTCATAAAATACTGTAATTCATACAATTCTATAATGATATGTTTATAGACATTTCTTACATATACTTCTGTCTTATCTTTATTTTTTAAAGATTTTATTTATGCATACAAGAGCTGGGGTGTAGGCCAGAGGTGTGGGGGTGGGGGTAGGGGGATGAGAAGATTCACCAGAGACAGAGTGGGGGACAGAACAGGGAGATTGACTGAAATACACTGCTGAGGGGAGCAGTGGGCAAGTGAGGAGAGGTCGGCTGCGCCATGTGGGTTGCACCCTGGCTGGCTGGGGATCAAACTCATGCTGCAGAGGCTGCGGATTGCTTCATAGTGCAGTGCTTAACCCCTTGCGCCACCAGGGAGGCCCTCGTCTTATCTTTAGGAAAGGGAATATCTTAGTCATTTTTACAGGCAAGATGGATTTACTATAATCCATTATACTTGCTCACCCAATTCCCCCTTGTAAACAATGGCTGGAACTTGGTGACTGACCAAGGTGATCAGAGGTAAAACAAGATCTACAGGCTTCACAGGAACTGAGCTTGTGAGCATCAAAGTAATTAGCACTTTATGCTCTTCAGCTCAGCCTCAGACGTGGAGATAGACCTATAGGCAGGACCATATTTAGTGATGTGAATTTTGGAAAACTGCTCCAGTTTTTACTTGGGTCATGAAAGATACTAGATTGTAAAACTGATGTCTTCCCTGAAATGTCTTTTTATACTGTATGCATGTATGTGCAGATATGTTCACATAGATGCATATATATCTACACACATATGTATATGTATCTATGTTATCCTAACAAGTAATCAGTAACAACTAATAAGAAAGTAGTCCAAAATGATATTGAGGATTCCTAGCATTATACAGTGATACTTAAAAATGACATATAATTAGCTTTGATTTGGCCTACTGTTTATTCAAAAACTTTTTTTATCCTTGTCCCCTGAACACAGGTTAATATGAAGTTCATGCCTGTTTCTTATAGCTCAATACTATTTTTGATTAACTGCTGTTTCCTAGCCGTTCTCAGCCATGGTTTTTGAATTATCTTACTGTACCTTCAAAACATTTCTTCTTCACTCTGTTTAATGCACTATATATGAAATGTTTTCTTCATGAGAGCATTTGACTGAATTCATTGACTGCTACTAATCACCAAATTCTGCATCTTCTCAATAACATCTGAAAGCAATCTGATGTTTATAACTTCTTGCATAGAGCTGACAGTGGGCTGAATACTAGTCCCAGTGTTAACTCTTGTTATGCAACCTTGATTTGAAGGACAAGGAAGGATGTCCAACTTCTGTGAATAGTTAACATTTTGGTTTTTTTTTCCCTTGACCCAAAACAATGCACTTAACAGAGGCAGGTGACTATATAACTGCATAACTCATCCAGTAGTTTTATAGAAAACCATTCAGAATAGAAAAGTAGCTCCAGACTAAGTTTAATCAATTGCCTTACTGAACAGTAATCAAATAAACCTGAGATAGAAGGGATCATTTTTTAATGAGTTCTATTAACTGTATACTTGTGCTTAATTTAACCATATCTGAATCCATTCCGCAGCATGGAATCATCACTGTTTCACATGAAACTATCATACATCCTCTTTTTTTACTATTTTCTGATTTTTTACATGACAATGGCAAATATCAGTAAATAGTATATCATTTGTATTATGTGCTATATTTACATCAGTTGGTTTCTAAACACAACTAAAATTCATTTTTCTACCTGAATGCCACATTTAGAAAGTATTAATTTCAAAATTAATTCCAATCAATATTATATCCAACAGTTTAAAATATAAATCAAACATATATAAACATGTTGGTACATAACTAACAATAATAGACTTAAGGCCATTTCAAGCAGTAAAAATAAAGATATGTTTTATCTATATATGATATTCTTTATCATTGCTTTCTAGATATAAGCTGGATTTTGTGCTTATACTTTCTTTGGATGTTACTTGAACTTTCAAGACTTAGTATCCAAGATATATGAGGGAATAAAAATGTTTCTGACATGTGGAACTATTTCAAGCAATTTTTTAATTTAAGCAAAAAACAAATGTAGCTGTACTGTCCCTGATTGTTTCCTCTGTTCTCTTGCAATCAGATAAAGTATTTAAATCCACTAAACAGACATATTTATGTCTAGTTTTAATAAAGCTAGACTAGGCTTACAAAATAGATGAATTACCCAGAAACTGTTGATTCTCAGAAAGGGGATATATTATAAAGAACAAAGGAATGCAAGATCATAAGAAATGCAAACAAATGCTTGGAAGTAATGTGAATGTCTCAACCACTGACAACTTTGCTTAATTCATTCCACCTATCAATCTGAAATTGAGCTTTCAGTTTTTCATAATTGTGCATTTATAGTAACATGCTTCTGTTAAAATACAATAGAGTATCTGTGTTGTACATCTGAGTCACAAGTATCTATATCAAGACATGTCTGTATAGATATTTACATAAAATAAGAACTATATTAGAATTAAAAATGTTACCTTATTTGCAGTTCTCTTAAAATGATTTAATGATTGATTTAATCACTTCCAATTGAGTACCTTTAGTGAGTCACATCTGAATATTTCTTTTCTGCATATAATAGATTTTGCTTTGAAATATTATGCTAATACATCCTTACAGTTCTATTGATAATTATATTTGTTACCATTTAGGATCAATAATTTCAAATGATACTTTAAGTTGAAATAAGACACTTATTATTACTATTTTACTTCAAGTCCAATTTTAGTTCCAAAGAAGGCAGTGCTATCTTAAAGGCTTGAACAAGGTTTTCTTTGTCTCTTACTTCAGGAAGATCACTTAACAACAAACACTTGAGGTTACTACAAAAAGAGAAAGAAGTTACTTCAATTTTTGTTTTTACTCGTACAACATTAAAAATAAACTTGCTTTTAGAAGAAATTACACACAGAAATGTGTTTATATCACCCTATACTTTCAAAATGACATTTATACAGTTGTCTTAGAGTACTATTTCAAATGAAACTCACTAGGGATTGAGCCAGATTTTATAAAGTTTAGTGGTTCTGAATTACATCAATAATTCTAGTTTATGCTTTCCAAATACTATTCACATGTTGTGGTATAGAACTTCTTTGCATGTGAATATGAAATATGAATCTTACTCCCCAAAAGGAAAAAACAATTGGGAAATTTCTTAAAGAAACTTGTTTCTATTAAAAGATAAAGCCTCAACTAATGTAAGAAACAAACCAGTACTTTTGGTCCCAGTGTTTAAAATTTCTCAGACTTCCTGTGATAATGAGAATCTGGCAGAACATAGGGGAAATTGCTTTAAAAGATGGAGAGGAAGCATGATAGCTAATACTTATTGAGAACTTGCTGCAGCAGGCATCGTGCTAGGTGACCGACGTATATTTTTCAGGAAGTTGCCCTGCGCAACCTTAATATATTAAGCTTGATAATTTTAACTGCTTTAAAGTACTACAGATGAAAATTGTTAGTTTCTTAAATTATATTTTGCAGAACTTAAACATACATCATCAAATGTTTAATTCTGATTATTCACTTTAACATCATTTTATCGTTTTCACTCTGCCACTGACCACCTACCTTAAGTGATACAAAGCAATGATGCCTTTGTTTGTGATATTTCCACATGAAATTATTTCCATTTCCAACATGCTTTTCTGTAAATTTTCAAATTGACTAAGTCTCTCCAAACAATCATCCTCAATATAGTGACACCTGCATAGCTTTATTTTTTCAACATACTGCAGGCCCTCTGGAAGAAAAAGTGCAGTTTAAGAACCTGCTTTACCATCACGATCACCAACTGTCTTAGTTTGTCTGGGACTATTCTGGCTTTAGGATTGAAAGTCCAAAGTCCTGAGAAACCTCTCAGTCTGAGGAACACTGAAAAAATTAGTCACCCTGTTAGCGATACAAGGTATTCACTATACAGGTTGTGCTACTGATGGACAGCACCATTCTGCAGTCAGATGTGCATGCACTAGAGGAAAGAAATGCCCACACAAGCAGAAGCTGTATGAATATAATGATTCCCGCATTACCGAGGGTTTCCCATAACAAAGATAGTTGGACAAACAAAGTCTTGATTTTAATTGTAAACCACATAGTAAAGGTAAGTGCAGAGTCAAACTTCCTGGGAGGAGGAAGATATTTATAACCTCTATTTAATTTAAAAATAAATATACACAAGAAGAAATAAATTGGGCTGTACTGAAAAGGGCAAACACACACTGGTATGACTACAACAATGAGTCAACTGCAACAAAATGTCACTGCAAATCACCTGGATTTCCCCTAAACAAATAAGTTAGTTACCTAAGTAATCAAATCCAATTCTCATGATACATGAGTCTGTGGCATCGATAGCCTGAATCTTGTATTTGTCTAGAGGGCCTGTTGGGAGGCTGTTATAGTCCTTCTGCCACTTGTGCTGACCATGGTAGCGCACCATGGCCCCACAGCGTAGCAGCCACTCGGAGGCTGCCCTGTCTGGGCCTACATCCTTGATGCGTTCATAATCTACTCTGTGGGCAAGAGGAAGAAAGATCATTAGATTCTTAAATATAACACCAACATAAGTATAAACAATAGCAACAGTTTTTCATTCGAAATGACTGAGGAGGAAGATATATTTAGTGAAAAAAAATAAAAACATACAATGGCTCTCTACCTTTTCTGCTTTTGTGTTTGTTTCCAAGTGACCACTGTCAAGGCCATTATTTTTGTGTTTGCAGACAGAAGTCTTCACTGATTGGATGTAGCACAGTGCTTGATACCAGGAGGTATTTAGTAACTATGTATTGAATGAGTGACTGTATTTGGTTATCATTTTATTAATGATGAGAGGAAAGTTTTGAACCTATGTTCAAATTAACCTCATTAAGTGATATATATTAATTCTACATATATGCCTTTTTAATTCTAGTTAGTGATATTAGTGTTATATTAAAAAATGAGATGAGTTTCATCAGTTTCAAAGGATTATTTCTAAGCATGTACCCACTAATGTTTTACGTATTTGAGTTTCCTTTTAGCCTTTTAAAAGGCTAATTATATTCCTTAAGAAGCTATAGAATAAACTTTTCTAAAATGACATTTCCTGAGATTTTCTGATTATAAAAGCAATAAATATTCATCTTAGAGAGTCCAAAAGACATAAGAAAAAGTACTGAAATCCTGCAACTCAAACAGGCAATTAATATTTCATAATCTATTTTCTGGTCTTTACATAATGCTTGTGTGTATATTTAGTGTGTTTTTAAACAAAATATTCACACACTGTACAAAAAGTACTATTTCTGAAATATAATAAATAACCAAATTAGCTACAGTGAATTCATCTAGCTATAACAACCCCCATATTCCTTCACATTAGTTAGAATAACTTACTTATTAAACACTGCATTCAACCAGCCCCAGAAGTAACGGGAGTCACATGACCATGGGAGTTTCTTTAAGGCGACCAACAGCTGGGAAGTTTTTCTAAGCAGCATCATTTGATCTAAACACACAAAAAAACAGTATTCACAGTAGATCATCAGCTAGCATACAGTCCCATGCATTTAGCAACTTCACCACTCCAGTGCTCGTGTGCTAATAAAGCTGATGCCTTACTTGCTACTCAACAGTTATTGAAGAAATCACTGCCTTCACTGGCTAGCAGTTTTTGCTTACTTTTTTGCAAAAAACAAAAACAAAACCAAACCAAACCATGCAGGCTGGATTGGATGGTCTCCAAGTTTCCCTTCAGCCTTGACATTAAGTTCCTTTGTGCAACAAGTCAGCCTGCTGTGCTGCCACCTAGCGTCCATTCAGGCAGTGCACCTACAATTTGCTGAAACCAGCTCCACTCAGAGTGGACATATTCAGTATCAAAATGACAAACTAAAATCACTTAGGGAGCAAGTGTGGTGGTCAAGACCCTCATAACCTGGAAGGGAGAGGAGACATGAAGACGAATCTTCCTAGTACAACGCTGCAAGTAGTATCACCAGAACAGGGCAAACAAAGAACTGTGCAAGCACAGCTGGGAAAGACTTGGCAAGTAACTTCACTTCTCTGACCCTTGGTTTTCTCATTTATAAGGCAATTTACTCAGGTGAGGTCCAGGTATAAGAATCCATAACCATGAGTTGGGAAAGTGATTTCTCAACTGGCTTAATCTGATTTATCTCAATTCATGTTTCTCTAGTAGTGTGCCACGTGGGATGAAAACAAAGAATTAATACACGACCTCTGGCTGTAAGGAGCTGACCATTTATTATAGGGTGGAGTGAGTTAAAACAAGTTATTTGAAATACATGATGGAAACTGAAAAATATCTAAATGAGTTAAATAAGGACAGGCCAGGATTTCAACAAAGATGACAGGAAAAGCTGTCAGGTGATTAGTAGACACAGGGATGTTTAAGGGCTGGTGTAGTTCAGTTTGGTTAGCCCATAGGGTCAGGAGGAGGTGCTCAACTTGCACAGTCATGTCAGGAAGGGGCCTAGCATGATCAGCCAGGGCATTTGGACTATCTTCTTTAGGTGACTGGAAGTCACTAAGTTGTTAGCACAGAGCACTGACATTGTTAGTTATGCTTTAGAAGTATTACTCAGAGAAAACAGCATCAAGACTGAGGGTCAACAGAACTGGAGACAGTCAACAAGAGCTTTAACTACATGTGGCCATAGGAAAGGCAGCCATGAGGGGAGAATGGGAAGGATCACAGAGTGGATTCCACATGACTCATCAAGTGAGATGCTGGGGCAAAGATCTGAGGAGTTGAAGATGACACCAAGTTTTGGTCCCCAGTCAACTGTTAGGATGGTGATGCCATTAACAGAAATCAATGTCAAGAGGGCAGGGTTCAGTCCCTCCCTCCCCAGTTTTTCATATAGTAAAAGTGAAGTTTGGCAGAACTTCTAAATAGAAATGGTCAATGAATCATTAGAATCAGAGTCACAAAATGTTAAAGCTGGAGGAAATGTAGACACCCAGATCTCTCATCTAAAGATGAGGAAACAGAAGTGCTGATCTTAAGTAACTTGCTGACAGCCTAAATCCTTTCTGGAACAGGGTGGAGTATTAATAAATGCATGTGTTTGAAAGGACTTGCCCAGTGTTTTGTGGCTAATTGGTGGCAGCTCTGAAACTGGAACCTATCCTCTCTCGTGTCAGTCCAGGGCTCTCTAGTCTTTATATTATTCTAGAATTTGGAAAAAAGAAGACTAGAAAGAAGCTTGAGTGGAAATCCTTTAGATGAGGAAGTCACTGAGGAAGATGGCTGTGGAAGAGTGAGAGATGCTGGGATCACCAGCCCTCTTCAACAATTTCTCAACATCACCTTTCCCTATCTTCATTACTGCAAGCCATTCCAGCTGCTACCTTCTCTCATGACCCAGCCCTTCCAGCTTTTTGTTAAAGCTCCCTCCATCTGTGCCCACCTCTAATAAGTTCACTAGCTGCCAATCTCATTTAAAAACCTGGAATTTCCAGCTTTAACTCAGGCCATTTCCATCCCTTCTACATCCCACCCACAACCTTGTTTGTGGAAATCTTATCCAACACCAAGACCTTACCCAAAAGTTATCTTCATTCATTCCTGTATACACTTAAAATTTCTTGAATTTTTATTTATATATTTTTAAATTGGATGTTCACTTTTGTACAATGTTTGATTTCTTCTCCCAGGTGTTGTCCCCATAAAATTACCACCCTCAAGACACCCCTGTACAGTCACCCTGGACCCTTGTGCTCTTCCCTGTTTTGATCCCTCCCCTGCTTAATGTCTCTGATTTATAGTTTGCCTGCTAGTTTTGTCCTTTTTTTCTGATCCTTTTTATGGTTTCCCTGTGTTCTTCCTATAAGTGAAACCATCTGATATTTTTCTTTTTCCTTCTGGCTTATTTCACTGAGCATAATCCCTTCCAGCTCCATCCATGTTGCTGTGAATGGCATAAGTTTATCTTTTTTGATTGCTGAATAGTATTCCATTGTGTATATATCAAATTTTATTTGGCAATAAAGTTTAAGAAAAGGTGATTTTGTAAATTGATTTTAGGAATTTCAGAAAAACTCAAGCAGCTACCTCTGGGAATGCTTTCTATAGGGAAAAAGGAGACCTCTAGTGGTGAGTTAGTGAATTTAGCTCTAATGAATGAAATGAAACCACTTAAAACCAAGTTAAAAAACAGCCACTACTGTATTACTATGGCTTCTAAAACTTGAAATTATGTTTGTGACCTACAGTCCAGACTCATGTGACTCAAAACAGGATATATACAGTGTTTCAGAGTAGGGTTGACTGAAAGTTCTTGTTTGCATAAAAACAAGTTTTTTCTAAGGCTGAAGTTCTATTTTTAACCTAGTAAACGTGATTATTTTAGTGGGCTGCCCACAGCAATAGCTAAAAGATTAAACCTCAAACTTTTGAGGGTGGTAAAATTATGGAGAGAGAGGTGGGGTGGCATCAGAATTGGAGTTTTTCCCAAATTACAATCTCACTTCACTGCAAATCATCCCCAATAGATGCCTACTGTTATTCCTGAGGTGAAACAGAACAACAGAGCAATTAGGAATTGGAAGCAAAGGTCCCAAAAGTCATTTTTAGGCCAACATCATATATGGCACTCATTGAACTAACTTGTTATATAGGTTCTGACCTAGATGGAAGAAGGTGAACGAATGCTCAGCTGAGGAGGGCAGTGTCCGGAATACAAGTATCTGGAGCCAGATACATATAAAGTGAGCTCTTAATTTGAAATTACCTGATTGAAATAAATTAATGTATGGTTAATTCCAGGGGAGAGGGTAAGGAGAAAAAATTTTACTTAAAAAAAAGTATAAGGGCCTCCCTGGTGGCAGAGCGGTTGAGTGCTGGGTTGTGAAGCTGCCGGCAGCCTCTGCAGCATGGGTTCAATCCCCGGCTGCTCCCCGGCCACTGGAGGAGGGTCCCACATGGCGCGCAGACCTCTCCTGCCGCCCGCTGCTCCCCTCAGCAGTGTACTTCGGTCCTTCTGCCTGCTCTGCTCCCTGCTCTGGCTCTGGTGAATTCTCTCACCCTCCCGTGCTTCTGACTGTACACAGTGCTTGTATAAATAAATAAATAAATATTTAAAAAAAAAAAGTATGAATAATTCTTTTACCTTACTAAATTGAGATCATAATCAAAACTATTACAGGCCACCATAAAGACTTTAGAATTGTGTTAACTAATATTCAATCTAGTAATTAGTCAACTCTGTCCTGTGAAAGCTAAAAATAATCATCTCCACTATAAACCTATCATACTGGTTAAAATTTAAAAAAATACTGTTAACACCAAATACTGATGACAATAAATAAATTGTTCAAACATTGCTGGTGGGAATGTAAAGTGGTTCAGCCACTTTGGAAAGCAGTTTGGCCGTTTCTTACAAAATTAAACATGTGTTTATCATATAATCAAGCAATTGGACTCTTGACCATTTATCCCAGATAATAAACACAGGTTCACACACAAAAGTGTACACTAGTTCAAATCAGCTTTATTCAAAATCGCTAAAAACTGGAAACTCGGAAGCTCTTCAATGGATGGTTAAACATGCAATGGTACATCCAAACCATGGAACCCTACTCAGCAATAAGAAAAAATGAACTTTGGATACGTGCTACAATTTGGATTGCTCTCAAGGATTATGGTGAGTGGAAAAAAGTCAATTCCCACAAGTCACATACTGTGTAACTGTGTTTGTATCACATTCTTGAAACGATGAAATTTTAGAAAGTAAAAATAGATTTGGGAACTGGGGTGCCCTGTAGGAAAGAGGTGTAGTTATAAAAGGGCAACCAGAGTGACCCACGCGATGATGGACCTGTGCTGCAGTTCGACTGGTGGTGAATATAAGATCTACACCATGATTAAAAACTAATAGCGCTAATCACACACACGTAGAACTAAGGAAATCTAAATAATATCAGTGGGTTGTGCCAATATCAATTTCCTGGTTGTGATAGTGTAGTGTTGTGATACTGTTGTGATAGTTTTACAAGATCTTATAATTGGAGGAGGTTGGGTACAGGGTACACAGGATCTCTTTGTTTCTTACAACTACGTGGGACTCTTCAAAATTAAAAAAAAAAATTTTATTTTTTCAATTGTGATAAAACAAGCAGATAACATCCTAAATTGTTCACCCATTAAGCAAAATATCTGCAACTTTAGAGGCGGTAAGACCACTTGAACATAAAAGCCGTCACGGTGTTCTTCACTCAATGAGCCTTCGCTCACGTCAAAGCATAAAAGCCCTATGAGGCGGCCACGATAATACTTCCAAATTTATACAGGATCTGAGGCAAGCCCCTTACCAATAACTAGAACGTAAGTCAAACAGCCAAGACCTTCCAGCTATAGAGTTTTACCATTCTATTCTTTTCCTGATCTTAGCCATTAAAAACCACGGTCAAACGCAAAGAACAGTGGTTAGTGAACTGGCACGGAGATAAACACATGCTTTTACAAGATTAGATCTTCTAGGGACCACGGATCAGGACACAGGGGTGAAGCGATATGCACCGACATCTCGCTGTCCCCAGGCCTGCTCAGCCTATTTAAAACCGTGTCTCGGACCAGAATTTTTAAAAAGTAAACAGATTCCTAAATGATGGTTCATCTCAGCGCCAGACGACTCCATGAGCCAGGAGCCCTCTAAGAAGTCCACAAGACGGCAGGCTCTCGGGCGAGGTCGCCTTGACTGGGCCTGAGTCGGAAGCGAGCGAAGGGCAGGATGTGGGGGGCTCTGCTGGGGGCCCCGCGCTCGGCGGGGGCCGGGCTGGAGTCCGCAGGTGCCAGCCCCGGGCCCGAGCAGATGAGGGTGGAGCCGGGCAGGGAAACAGGCTGACAGGGGCGGGCCCGCCCGGGAGGATGGGCAGCCATTGGGCCCAACCGAACTACAGTTCCCCGTGATCACGCCCAGACTTTCTCCCGCCGCCCCACGCCGGCGTGAAGGTCGGAGACCAGCCACTCGGTGGGCCGGGATTTCAGTCGGGCCAGCTTGGGAGAAGGCAAAGGGGCAGAGCAAAACCGCCCAAGAGTCCCGCCCGCTCGGGGCCTGGCGCCTCTACTTACGGCGTCGGAGGCCCGGACCCAGCGCGTGTCTTTAGCGTCACAGCGGCGCCCGCAGGCCCTGAGCCTCCGCCGCGAGCGTCCATTGGCCACAGGCATTCCCACGTGGGGCGGCGGCGCGCGCCCTATTGGTCGCTGCGTGGGAGGCGGGGCTAGAGCGCACTGGACCGGTACTCCAGAGGCTACCTCTGGGGTTGCAGAAGGGGAGGGGGCGCAGGAGATGCTGTCGGTGCTGCGTTACCTGGGCGGTGCCTGCGGACGGGCCCGCGGGGGCCTCCCCGGGGGCTTTGCCGCGAATAGGCTCGCGCCGGGGAGGCCCAGGCGTCTATGCCAGGGTGGCCGCAGAGCCAGCACCAGGTGAGTAGCCGCTGGCCCGCCTCCGCTGCCTGCGCTGCTGCTTTTCTTAGAGGTTCCTGGTGCTGAACCTATGTCCTTGCTCGGCTCCCCTGTCCTGGGCACGAGAGAAGGTTGGCGTCCTCTGAAGTCCAAACTCCAACATCCGGTGCTTGAGGCTACCCGCAGAAGGCTGCATTTGTGGGCAGGAGCTCATAAGATAGGCTATGTTGAGTGGAGGTCAAGAGCACTTCTAGCTTTGATTCAACCCCTGGACCGAGGACCAGTGCTCCTTAAAGGCTCATTTTGTGCATAGGATCCTAGTCTGTCCCATAGGTGGTCGTTTTGAGGATTAAAGGAGCTAAGCAATCAAATATGCTGTTTATTGGCTGGCAATCCTGGTGTAACGCTGAAGATCTGAAACCGATCTTAAATCAACCAGTTCCTGGCGCAGGCAGCATAAAGTTGCCCCTGTGAGAAGCAGTTCAGTGGCTAATCAAATCCTGCCGAATTCAGGGGGCTGGAATTTAAAGTTGGAGGTCATATTCGAAAACCCTCTCTGTTTTCTGTAGAGGGAATGGTTTGTGCAAAAACTTCAAAACTGGAAAGTTTTTATCTATTTCGAGGACTGGAAGGTGGGCAATGAGTGTGGCTCAACCGAGATGGTGGAATGACATCTGACAGACATCACGGGGTTTTTATTTTATTTTAGCTACACATTTTATTTATTCTCAGAGTCTTGGCAGGTGTTTAAAGGTTTTTTAGGAAGAGGGAGTGATTAAACTTTGGTGTTCCAAAAGCTGACACTGCTGTGTATCAGTGGACAGAGGGGAATTAGAATCGCAATAGGTTTGTGATTCACTGTGAGATATATGGTTGGTTAATTCTTTGGGGGAAGCTTTTCTTAAGGAAAGAAAAGTAGGGTTAGTTAAGGTTTTGTTTGTACTTTTCATTTTGAAATAATTATAGGTCTATAATAAGTTGCAAAAATAGTATAGAGAGATTTCCTGTGCTCTTATTTACCCAATGATACATCTTTCATAAGTATAGAACAATATCAAAACCAGGAAATTGACATTGGTACGATCTACAGACCTTGTTCAGATTTCATCGGTTTTTGCGTGTCTATGTCGTCTAATCATATGGTTTAATTTGTGTAACCACTTCCACAATTAAGGTAAAGAAATGATCCATCACTGCAAAGATACCCCATGTGTTATCTACCCTTTTATAGTTATATACACCCTAACCTTTGGAAACCATTAATCTGTTTTCATGCTCTATAATTCTGTCATTTAAAGAAGTGAGATTGTTATATAAGTGGAGTCACATAGTATGTAACCTTTTGGGATTAGCTTTTTTTTTAATGCAGTATAATGTCCTTGAGATCCATCCAAGATGTTGGCTATATTAATTGGGGGTTCCTTTCAGCTGTTGAGTAGCATCCATGGTATGAATTTTTTTGTTTTTCTTTTTTTAAACATCTCACCAGTTGAAGGATACCTAAACTGTTTCCAGTTTAGGGCTGGAATAAAGCTGCTATGAGCATATGTACAGGTTTTCGTATGAACATTCAATTCTCTGAAATAAATGCCCAAGAGTGCAGTCGCTAAGACATGTAGTAAGGGTATGCTTAGTGTTTTTAAAAACTGCCATGCATTTCCAAGACATAACATTTCCAACACCAATATATGTGATCCACTTTTTCCTCATCCTCGCCAGCATTTCATATTATCACTTTTTAAATTTTAGTCATTCTTAAAGGGGTGTAGTAATCTATGTGTAGTTTTAATTTGCATCTCTCTGGTGACAAATGGTGATGAACATTTTTTCATGTACTTATTTGCTAACTATATATCTGTTTTCTTCGATGAAGTGATTGTTCATATTTTTTGCCCATTTTCTAAATGGCTTATTTGTTTTGAAATTCCATATATAGTATAGATAAGAGCTTTTTTTTGGTCAGATACGTGGTTTGTGAGTGTTTTCTCTCAATTTGTTGGTTGTCTTCTTATCCTTTATCGGGGTCTTTAGCAGAGCAAAAGTTTTAAATTTTGAAGTCCAGTTTATCAATTTTTTTTCTTTTATGGGTTATGCCTTTGGTATTAACTCTTTTTATTTTATTTTATTTTTTTTTAAGATTTATTTATTTATTTATGCAAGCACTGGGTACAGTCAGAAGCGCGGGAGGGTGAGAGAATTCACCAGAGCCAGAGCCGGGAGCAGAGCAGGCAGAAGGACCGAAGTACACTGCTGAGGGGAGCAGCGGGTGGCAGGAGAGGTCTGCGTGCCATGGGGGATCCTCCTCCAGTGGCCGGGGAGCAGCCGGGGATCGAACTGGCGCTGCAGAGGCTACGGGCAGCTTCGCAACCCAGCGCTCAACCGCTGCGCCACCGGGGAGGCCCTGGTATTAACTCTTGACCTAGTCCTAGATTCTGAAGATTTTCTCCTGTTTTCTTCTCAAAAGTTTATGCTAAATTTACAGAAATAGTTATGGATGTGACCTGCTTCACAAATTACATTTTGGGCATTTCCCAGCTTTCTCATGCTTTAACATATGTTCATGCCTTATCTGTCTATGAGATAATATTCCTTGAAGGAACCAATTTTGAAAACTTTCCCATATCTTTACATTTGGTTAGGATTACTCTTTTCTTCTTCACACAATTTTTTGTACAGAGGATCTCTGATTATGTTAATCCTTTCTTCTCACAAATGTTTAATGAATTTTTTTTCTAGCAATCACTTATATATGGTATTATGGAGAAAAACGTAAGTGTCTTCTCTATTACAAATGGCAGCTAATACATAAACCATGAGAAAACATAATGAGAAGTGATACTAAGAGATGAGGATGATGTGATGCAGTGATTAGAAGGCATCGTTACTTTGGTTTTTCTTATTTTGGCAGTCTTACTTGGTGATAGGTCTGACAGAGACATACTAACATTGACAATGTCAGTGTGAGTACACTTTCTAGGAATGGCCCCAAACATGTTCTTTTGCTGAAACACAAGTGAAATTAGGAATAGCACTCTCAGCTGTGACATCCCAAAAAGGTCCTCCAAATTCAAACTGTACCTATTTATTCAATGATTATCTAACTATCTGTATTTTGTTTGTATATCTATGTTTGTAGATGTGCATGTATGTATGTCAAAAGCTTTTGCATTAGCAATTTTATACAGAAGTTTTAAAAATAAATACTTTTGTGGCAAAAAAAGTTTATACAAAATATTTGGTGATATAAAAATGTATTGTTAATATTTTTGGTTTAAGTAATGGTATTGTATATAAACTTTAAGCAATACCATTGAAATATTTACCGATAACATTTAAGATTTGCATCAAAATATTATAGAGGAGGGGGTAAAATAGGTGGGGTATAGAAACAGCAAGATTTGTCATGTTCCTATAAAATATAAATTTGTTGACTATGAAGTCAGTGCTAAAGGTAATCTTTTAAGCATCCCATTGTAGAATTACACTGTACATACCTAATTTCTAATTTTTGAAATGAATGTATATCAGAATTTATTTTGTCTACAGGGTTTAATGTTCTCACTGGCTGTTTTCTTTTCAACAACAAAAAATTATGAATTATTGCTAAGGCATTCAAGACTTAATATGTTAGGTTATCCTCAGGAATATTGTACTGGAATTTTAAAAGTATAAGTGTTAGTGGTGAGTGTGATTCTCAACACAGTAATCACTGATTTAGCCAGCTTGGACTACTAACCACCCTGGTGCTGGGGGTAGCTTGTTATACTACTGACCAGCCATGCATGTTACTTTTAAAGGTTTCTTCATGAATATAAAACAACTAGTGTAATTACAAGAAATAGTTGATTGTATTGATTGCAAACTAATAATTTAATTGTCTTTTGATGATGTACATTATGCATGTGACTTTGATCAGGTTTATTGTAAATATACGTTATTTTAAAGGTGATTTTCTCTTCAAGCTCATTTGATGTAGTCATTATTGGTGGCGGAATTGTGGGTCTTGCCTCTGCCAGAGCACTCATTCTGCGACATCCATCACTTTCCATTGGTGTTCTGGAAAAGGAGAAAGACTTAGGTATGTATGTTATCAGTGTTTTCCTTCGGGCTTAGCCTGACCACCTGCTCATTTAGTCAGTTCTACATCTTTCATGCTGAATATCAATGTTAGTATCCTATGTTGTGTTTTCCAGAAAGCAGAACCTAGGTTTGGACTTGGGTCCAACTGATTTACTGATAGGTTATTTGAGGCAGGAATGAGGTGGTGGGGAGAATAAACATGGAAGGAATGAAGTGGTTTGCTGGTAGTGAGGGGTGAGCTTGCACACCAGAGTTGTAAGTAAAATTAGAGGTAGGCTGGAGAGATGTGATATAGACACCAGGGGAGGCTGCTATATTTGTTCCTTTTCTTCTTCGGTTTTAGATGGATCAAGTACTTTTTAAAATCTTTGTTGTCTTTTTCTGTAGCTGTTCACCAGACTGGGCATAACAGTGGTGTCATACATAGCGGGATTTATTATAAACCTGAATCTCTGAAAGCTAAATTGTGTGTACAAGGCGCAGCCCTCATCTATGAGTATTGTAACCAAAAGGGAATTTCCTACAAGCAATGTGGCAAGGTATGATATTTTATTAGGTCCTTGACATATTTTGTAACTAGCATTTTTTTTATGATGTTTAACGTTGAATTAAAAAAATGCTTGACACTGCCTGCTCTGCTCCCCGCTCTGGCTCTGGTGAATTCTCTCACCCTCCCGCGCTTCTGACCTACCCAGTGCATGTATAAACAAACAAACAGACAAACAAACAAACAAACAAACAAATAAATAAAAATAAACATGCCTCTATTAAAAAAAAAAAAATGCTTGACAGAGTGGAGAGCAGAACAGGCAGATCCACCAAAATACACTACTGAGGGGAGCAGTGGGTGAGACAGGAAAGGTCTGTTGCACCAGCGGGTTAGCTTGTTGGTCAGGGATCAAACCCGCCCTGCAGTGGCTGCAGATAGCTTCATAGGCTGCGTCTTAACCCCTTGTGCAACCAGGGAGTCCCCTTCTCTATGTAATTTTAAAGAATAAAGTTCATGTTACTATTAAAGAGGCTGTGAAGATTTTTTAAAATGAAGTGAGAAAATGGCCTTGACATAGCGTTAAGTGAAAAAAACCAAGATACAAAACTATATTCTTAGTTTTTGGTATTGAATTATAAGAATTCTTAATATATTCTACATAATAGATCATTATTAGGTATGTAATTTATAAATATTTCTTCCTTTATGTAAATTGTTTTACTTTCCTGATCATGTCTTTTGAGTCCACTTTTGTCCTTAAGGTTATTTGTTAATTTAAATAACCTTATCATTTAAAAAGTATTACCTCATTAAATTCTGTTAGCTCTTGCTATGAAGTAGTTATCTGTGAATTCTGATCTACCTGTGACTGCTTCTGTGCTTTCCTTTGCTGGTAACTGTGAAGTACTAAGGAAGAAACTGCTTCAAACAGACATTTTGCCCAGAATATTTTGCCTGGAAAATAGAAAAAACAGACTGGAGTAAAAAAAATTTTTTTACTATTTTTTTTTCTCTGCAAAAGAACACACTAAATACTTTGTAATATGTTTTATTCTGCAAAATAAAATGGGTATTTTTTTTCTCTTAATGATGTCTCTTTATACTAAATACTGGTTTTCTAATGTACTTTCACATATTCTTAGAGACATAAGTAGGTATTTCTGTATGGGATTTTTTGTTCTTTTTCACATGTAAAGACTAAGCAACTTGTGCTTCTCTCCTTACTAGGATTGAGGGGGTGATAATGATAAGGGTTGTTTCTGGCCAAGGTACATATAGAGACTATGATAGCAGAAATGGAAACTGAGACTATAGCTCACCTTTGGGAAAAACTAATCTTAATGCAGTTTTCTTAAGATAACTTTTTTTTTGGTAGGAAAAGAAAATTAGGTCATGAAGAAAGGGAGAGCACATTTTTAAATCAATCCAATTTGAGTTGTACAATAATTTATGATTTCATGTTGATAATCTTTTGTAGCTTTTTAATCTTTCATAGCTGATGATAGGTTTAACTCTATCCATATTCTTTTTTTTTTTTTTAGCTTATAGTAGCTACTGAACAAGAAGAAATTCCTAGGCTTCAGGCTCTATATGAGAGAGGCCTACGGAATGGTGTCCAAGGCCTGAGGCTGATCCAGTCAGACAATATAAAAAAGAAGGAGCCGTATTGTAGGGTAAGTGATTTACTAACCCCATACATATGTTCACAGGGGTATTTTTATTCAGGGCTCAGGCCTGTGACATGGAGGCTGGGGGTGAGTTTATAGGAAATAAGCATCACATAGACTCAGATAATCCTGTCACAGAGACAGTGAGGTGTAAAGTATAAGGGTGTATTGCCAAACACTATGAATACTTGGTTTCCTCTTTCCCTGTATGAACATACCAGGTCCAAGCAGCATAAGCAAAGGCAAGAGAAAATCTGAGTTCATATTGCTTGTTTGGTAAAGCACTGAGTGGTGAGTGGTGAGGTATGTAGGGCATGTTGGGGAAAAATAATAGGTAAGACTAGAAAGGAAGGATTAGGCCTGCAGAGAGGGTCTAATTTTGATGTTTATCCACTGAAAATTATTTGGGAAAGCAGCTACAATGTCTAGTCTGTATTTCAAATGTGCCAGATAAAAGTAGTCTGAGTGTGAAGGGTAGGTTGTAGATTATGTTGCCTAAAACAGGCTTTTTCTTCATGAAAGTGATGTGAATGATCATATAATAGTTAACTCAGCATTTTGACTTTCTTTGATAGCCTTTCAGAGGCAATCAGTCAACCCCAGTTCCAGTGGCTGTTCTAATGAATGACTGTATCTCCCACTCCCACTCCTTCACTGGTTTTTTTTTTAAGATTTATTTATTTTTGTATGCAAAAACTGGGGTATAGGTCAGAGGTGCAGGAGGTGAGAGGATTCACCAGAGAGAGTGTGGAGCAGAACAGGCAGGCAGACTGAAATACACTGCTGAGGGGAGCAGCGGGAGAGACAGGAGAGGTCTGCTGCACCATGTGGGTAGCTCCCTGGCTGGCCAGGGATTGAACTCGTGCTGCAGAGGCTGGGGATAGCTTCACAGTGTTATGCTTAACCCCTTGCTCCACCAGGGAGGCCCTCCCTCACTGTTTTGTGGACGGTTTGCAGTAGCTGGATTCCGGGTACCTGTCTTAGAGCATGTGATCTTGAATTCACTACCAGGCGTTGCTTATCAGAAGTTTAGTTTAGAGAAGTCCTCTTTATGAGACATAGCCTGGAGGATATATAGACTGACAGTTCACCCCTTTGCATCTCTGCAGACCATCAGAGTGGCACACCTACACGTCAGTGTTTTGTTCTCCCCATCTCACTCCTTGACCCCAAATTACTCTCTGAATTGTACTTTGGTTTTATCGCATCAGCCTGTGGAGAAGTTCACAGTGTCACTCACTGCAACCTCTGTTGTAAGGATGTGGTTGGGCCATAGGTTGCTCACTGTTACACAACATCTTGCTCTGAGAACCTGCAGAGAAATTTCAGAGACTCATCCTGTTCTGAGAATAAGAACAGAGTTCTGAAACTAATTTTGTTCTTCCTGAGAATGGTACTTATGGACACTGCAAATCATTTAACTGACCTTGTCCTGTTTACCTTGACACTTAAGGAAGTCTGGAGATACATCTGTACCCCACTCCTATTGGGCATCCAAAGCCTTAAGTAAATTTTTTTTTTAAATTTTTTTAAAGATTTATTTATTTATGCATATAAGAGCTGGGGTACAGACCAGAGGTGCGGGAGAGTGAGAGGATTCACCAGAGACAGAGCGGGGAGCAGAACAGGCAGACTGACCGAAAACACTGCTGAGGGGAGCGTCGGGCAAGTCAGGAGAGTTCTCCTGCACCATGTGGGTATCTCCCTGGCTGGCCAGGACTGAACCTGTACTCCAGAGGCTGCGGACAGCTTCACAGCGCTGCCCTCAACCACCTGCGCCACCAGGGGGGCCCCCTTAAGTAACATTTTAATTTTTATGTACTAATTATCCTCTTCATTTCATCTTGTCTTTCTACTCTCATTTTCTATTTGCTCCAATTAGGGAGAACTTTTTGTTGAATCATAACATACAACAGAAATCATAGATGTTTTGATATTTTCATGAAGTATGACCGATAGCCAGATCAACAAACAGAACGTCACTAGCCTCTTGGCACTCTCCTCATGCTCCTAGTCACTACTTTTCCCTCTAAGAGTAACTGCTGTCCTGACTTACTACATCATAGGTTTTTGAATTTTATGTCAGTCAAACCATATTGTATGTGCTCATTTATGTCTGGCCTCTTTTATTCAGTATTGTTTATTAACTTCATCCATACGGTTGTATATAGTTGTAACTTATTGTCATTGATGTGTAATAGTTTATAGCATTGAATGTAGCATGATTCTTTCTACTATTGACGTACACTTGGGTAGTTTCCAACTTGGAGTCATCCCAAATAATATTGTTGTAAAGATTATAGCACATGTATTTTTGTGAAAACATGTGCACATTAATGTTAGACATATACCAAGGAGGGAAATTGCTAGGTCATAACTTGCACATATATTTAGCTTTGGCAGGTGCTACCTAAGAGTCATCTAGTGTTAGTCCCAAGTTATACTCTCCTCAGCAGTGTAGGAGCATTCTAATTGCTCCATACCCTCACCAACATTTGGTTTGCTTTGTTGTTTTCATTTTAGCTCGTGTTTTACCTTTCATGTTTAGATCTGCAATCCGTTTGTAATTTATTTATGTTTGTGTATGAGGTAGGGGTAAAGGTACATTTTCTCTTCTCCCATGTATGTAGATTTCCGGTTGACCCAACACTATATCAAAAAGATCATTATTTCCCCACTACCCTGCAGTGTTACCTTTGTGATCTCAGATGGCTGTATGTGGGTGGCCTCTATAAACTTTTCTTATACCGCTGTCATAATGTCTTAATTACTAAACCTTTTCATAGCTATAGATATCTGGTGGCAAAAGTTCTTCATTTTTGTTCTTCTTCATTTTCCTGGCTATTTTTGGAACTTCATATATACTTTAGAATTCATTTGCTAAACTCCACAAGATAACCTGTTGTGATTTTTGATTGTGTTTGCATGAAATCTGTAGGTCCATTCAGAGATAATTTTACATTTTTACAATTTTGAAAATTCGAATTCAGGAGCATCATGTATCTCTCCATTTATGTGGATCTTTAATTTTTTTGCAAAAATGTATTATATTTTTCACTGCTGAATGTCACTTAGGTTGGTTTCTAGGTATTTGATGTGTTTTAATGCTCTTGTATATAGTTTTGTTTTAGTAAGTTTATTTTCCTCATGTATACATGAAAATATGACTTTTTTTTTTTTTTTTAGTTTTTTTTTTTTTTTTTTTTTTATAGAGGCATGTTTTTTTTTATTTATTTATTTATTATATTTGTTTGTTTTTTTTTTGTTTATACATGCACTGGGTACAGTCAGAAGCGCGGGAGGGTGAGAGAATTCACCAGAGCCAGAGCGGGGAGCAGAGCAGGCAGAAGGACCGAAGCACACTGCTGAGGGGAGCAGCGGGTGGCAGGAGAGGTCTGCGCACCATGTGGGATCCTCTTCCGGGGCCGGGGAGCAGCCGGGGATCGAACCGGCGCCACGGAGGCTGTGGGCAGCTTCGCAACCCAGCGCTCAACCGCTGCGCCACCGGGGAGGCCCGAAAATATGACTTTTTTTGACCTCATGTTCGTCTTTGTTGTTAAATTCACTTGATTCTAGAAGTTTGTCTATAAATTCTCTTGGATTTTCTGTGTATAGTCGTGTTGTCTTCAAATAATAGCTATTTTATTTCTTCATTTCCATTTTGTATGGTTGGCTGGCTCAATGTTTAATGCTAATATGTATTGTTATTTATGTGGGTTTGTTCTTTTTTTTTTTTAGTAAGTTACCTCAGATCCTTTTTGCAAGAAAAGAACCGAACAGAAATAGCTTTTTCCTTCTTAAGTTATCTTTAGTTGTGTAGTTAAAGTTAGGTTAAAATAGAGCCTCCCTGGTGGTGCAAGGGGTTAAGCACCGCACTATGAAGAAAGCCACAGCCTCTGCAGCACGAGTTCGATCCCTGGCTGGCCAGGGAGCAACCCACATGGCGTGGCAGACCTCTCCTGTCTCACCCGCTGCTCCCCTCAGCCGTTTATTTCAGTCAGTCTGCCTGTTCTGTTCCCCACTCTATCTCAGGTGGATCCTCTCACCCCCTGCATCTCTGGCCTGTACCCCAGCTCTTGTATGCATAAATAAATAAATCATTTAAAAAAAGAAAAAAATTCGGTTAAAATATATGATCTTACTTATGTAAAGTTCCTAACAAGTCAGAGTACATAGGAATCCAAATAGTGTTAAATTAGTTCTTCCTGTGGAGAAGGTTCTAACATCTTCAGCTCCAATAAATTTCACCTTTCTCTTCCCTGAGACTCAGAATAATAGGAATATTTTGCTTATAGGATCATTAAGTCTTTTCTACTCCTCTTTTTCTCCCTACATATTTCTTGTCTCTCTGAGATGGTAAGTGAATGACTGATTTTTTGATAAGAAGATACATTTATTGAATACCTTATTTTGGCTGTCTATTTCTTACAAGCTGTGGGCAAATGCTACCTGGTTAAGCCAGGATAGACCAACTCCAGGCTTTGGGCTGAATTCACCCTGTCAACTGTTTTTTGTGGCTTATCAACTAGGAATAGGTTTTACATTTTTTAAATGGCTATGAAAAGTTAAAACAAAAATAATTTGTGACATATAAAAATTATGTGGAATTCAGGGCCTCCCCGGTGGCGCAGCGGTTGAGCGCTGGGTTGCGAAGCTGCCTGCAGCCTCTGCAGCCGGTTCGATCCCCGGCTGCTCCCCGGCCACCGGAGGAGGGTCCCACATGGCGGCAGACCTCTCCTGCCGCCCGCTGCTCCCCTCAGCAGTGTACTTCGGTCCTTCTGCCTGCTCTGCTCCCCGCTCTGGCTCTGGTGAATTCTCTCACCCTCCCACGCTTCTGACTGTACCCAGTGCATGTATAAACCAAACAAACAAACAAATAATAAATAAATAAATAAGACATGCCTCTAGGAAAAAAAAAAAAAAAAAAAAAATTATGTGGAATTCAGATTTCATTGTCCATAATACAGTTTTATTGGAATACAACCACGCTTATTCACTTATATGTT